TTCCCCCATTTACTTCCATTATCAAGTCATATGGGAAAATATTTGATCCCAAAAGAAAAAAAGCACTTTAGGATTTTAACATTCAATTCAGTCATACTCTCTGCTCCTGCTGACTCACAGTCCAGTCCTTATGTATTTAGCCCATTTATATTATTCCTGCAAAATACTAGCCATGCCTGTAGGGTCTTACCCTCTAATTTATAAGCACATCAGCATTACAGATTGCTAATTCAATGCCTGGATTACTTGACAGAGCAAGTAAGCAGGTATTAGAGAAACAACGAAGCAGGATTTTATTTTTTCCAGAAAGAAGCATCTTCTAAATGACTTTCAGGAGTCAGAAAGCATGACTTCAGCATGTATGAAAGTTTAGTGTTTTAAGAGTAATGTTGGGGGCTTCCCTGGTGGCGCAGTGGTTGAGAGTCCACCTGCCGATGCAGGGGACACGGGTTCATGCCCCGGTCTGGGAAGATCCCACATGCCGCGAAGCCGCTGGGCCCGTGAGCCATGGCCGCTGAGCCTGTGCGTCCGGAGCCTGTGCTCCGCAATGGGAGAGGCCACAACAGTGAGAGGCCTGCGTACCGCAAAAAAGAAAAAAAAAAAGTAATATTGTTTTTACTTAAAATTAGGTACTGGGGATCACCATGATATTTTCAGTGTTCCATTTGTAAAAATGATAAGGCCCTGACAAATTCTCATTTCAATGGTGTTCTCAATTTCTTCCCAGAGTTTAGATGTATGGTCAAGCAGAAAAAATAATTAAACCACAGCTACAAATATTTGGAACGCCGTAAGAATAAGGGTGACAACCATGGCTGTTATCGAGCACTAACTATGTGCCAGGTTTGGTGCTATGATCTCTGCAGGATCTATCTCTTTTAATCCCAAGTAGAAAGTTTATGGAGTAGGACTCTTATTATCCCCGTTTTTTAGAGATGAGAAACACAAGGTTTTGAGAGGTTGAACCATTTCCATAAAGTCACATGGCAAATGTTAATTTTTGCCTGTTTTAAATGAGCGTGAGCTGGGGAGTTCTTTCTTTTGATCCAGTGCTCTGTTGAACACAGCCTCAGGCTCCTCCCCAGGACCTGAGCTGAACGTAACTCACAGATGCTCCAAATTCTGATCCACAGTGTTTCCACTACTGCAATGGGCAGATCACCTAATTTGCACCTGCCTCCTTTTCTTTCTGTATAAAAGGAGCACAGTTATACAATATCGCAACAGACATCATAAAGTTAGAAATTTGCTTTCCCTTTGAAGATCAAGGCATACAAAATAGTTATTAATAATTATCTGGCAAACTGGTGAATGTGTTTTCCTGTCTGAAGCACTAAATGATCTCTTAATTACTCTTTACAGTTCATCCTCATCACGCACTTAAGTAGAATGTGTTGGCTGGTGAGGAATATTTTTGTTTACAAATGAAAGCTAACACACAAGAGGGACTATAATAATGGGGTCTTATACTGTCCAGACTTTTTTTTTTTTTTTTGCGGTACGCGGGCCTCTCACTGTCGTGGCCTCTCCCGTTTCGGAGCACAGGCTCCGGACGCACAGGCTCAGCGGCCGTGGCTCCCGGGCCCAGCCGCTCCGCGGCGTGTGGGATCCTCCCAGACCGGGGCACAAACCCGTATCCCCTGCATCGGCAGGCGGACTCTTAACCACTGCGCCACCAGGGATGCCTTCTAATCCACTTTTAAGATGGGATTTTCCCCTTAACATTCTTGCTGAAGTCTTCAGATGGTCAGCTGGGGATTTCAGAACCTATATCACCTTCTGAATTTAACCTGGATACATTTGGATGTCATGATACATTTGACATGATCAATTACTAATTTGCTATGTTATGGAATATTTCTATGACATCATTTGATTTAGGGAGTTTCTGTTAGTTTACATATGATGGACAATGAGTGATGCAGAAAGAATCTGATTGGTATCCTACCAGCAATGAGTAAGATGCCAAGGTTATGCATCCAAGCTTTTCTTTTGAACAGTGATGGTAACCTGAGAAATATGAGCCTCAGCAGCAGCAGCAGCACAGAAATTAAACTTCCAGTAAAATATCAAGGACTCTGATATTCTTTGAATTGAGAAATAATTTTGAGCCTGTTGCCTTTAATAACAAATAAAAACATAAATACAATAACTTTGACCAAAGTTTTAGTAAATCAAATAAAATAGGAAAAGAACATTAATTTCCCAGGTGGCAATTTGTATTGGTTATCATATGTGAATGATACTTAATTTGATTCAGCATGTGAAACTTGACTTCCAAAAAAAAGATTTTAAATATGTTCCTTAAGATTAAAAACAAATGAGATGGTTCCTAAAAAGTTTCTATATAGCCATAAGCAAAACAGTATCAAAAGAAAATTTAGTGACATTAAGGTTAAATGCTCTGAATCAGGAAAGTAATAGAAAGTAATATAACTGTATCAGTAAATTGACCAAAACTGTCTTCAAATGTATATGTGTTGATTTAAAAGTCTATACAAACTAATGCTTTTGCATAAAAATGTGTCCTGAAAGGACCCAAATTTAAAGTTAATATGTAATCTTTAATCAACCTAAATGTACAACAGTAGAATAAACTAATTATGCTGTATTAATATCAAAAAATATTTTGTAGCCATTAAAAAATGTTCTGAAGTAATTTTTATGACATGGGAAAATGTTAAATAAGAAAGTAGGATAAAGACTAAATATATCTTATGATCCAAAATATTTTATTGAGTCTGTATGTGTGTGTGAATCTGAGAAAAAAATACACCAAAATGTTAACAGAAGTTATTCTGGGTGGTGGAATTATAGGTTCTTTTGCTTTTTTAATTCTAGTAAAAATTTCTAAATTTGCTGTAATGAACATGTACCACTATTATAAATTTTTAAATGACCAAGGAGCTGTATGAAAACTTCTTGGTGTGTATGAAAAAGATGTGTGTTATATAATACCTAAGTTCCCAGAAGAGGTCAAGTATTTCATGTATACATTGTTCCATTATTCATAATTACTAAGTCACCAAGACCCATCCTGGAAAGGCAGCTGGACCATCCAAGGCAATCCATTACAAGAGAACTTTGAGAAAAAGAAACCTCATATAGGGCCTTGAGAAATCTTGTCACCATCATATAATGCTGTTTCCTTCTTGCAGGAAGTAGATGTGAATAAAGGCTATGACTACAGTTTATTTTTAAAAATATTCTTAGGTCTCAATGTGTCTTCTGAAAAATCAAGTGCGTATCTGAGTTGAGAGCTGAGAACATCTGCGCATCCCATTCTTAAGTCTCTTGTTTTTGAAGCCTGCTTACTTACTCTTTTAATATATATTTCTTTACAAATGAATTGTGGAAGCACTTTTTTTACTTTTGTGAACCAAACAAGGCAAAAGAAAGTTGTAACTGGATATTATCCAGGTCCATATTTTTGACTCAAGGGAGGCAGTAAAGTCATCAGACTCCCATCTTACCCACATTGCATTGGATTCCCTCTGCTAAAGCACTCCCTTGTTTTTTTCCACAGGAACTTGGTTTTCCATTGTGGGCTAAACTCCTTTGTTTGCATCCCATCTACTAAGCATGTGATGCCAACTCTGAGGTCTAGGGTTATTTGTCCATCAAGATGTCCTAACTTTGGAAGAGAGCTGAAAAAGGTAGAATAATAACTGGATTTTGTTAGACATTGCACTTAATAGAGAATAAGAGAAAGCAAATCTTTTTTCTGAATACTGATAGTGTACTATAATATCTGTGTCATTGTGAAGAAAGGGACAGTCTTGCCCTGAGTGGGAAGGTATCATTAATTTTGTTCGATCCTAAAAGAGGTTTGCAAGTTCTAGTATCTAGTATTCTGGAAGATGCTAGAAACTAAGGATATAGCAGGTAGGGCAAAAAGTGGTAGAGAAAATCTAGAGTGCAGGTGATACTTAAGATATATAATGTTTGATAAACGTTTGACACATAATGTTTGATAAATATTTAGTAAACAGATTAAGAGGTACTGGCCTCATTGTAGTTCCTGGTGGTCATGCACTCAGTGTGGTCCCAGTGTTTATCACAAACTCACTCCCCCACAATTTGCACATATGCTTCTGGGAAGGGTCTAGTAAAGCACTGAAATAGTCCAAGTTCCAATCAAGTTGACTGAATTAAAGTCCAGTCCAGAGAAGACGCTGGAGTATTAGTCAGGGACACTGACACAAAATCTCTTCCTACTGACCCATCCACTGAGGAATGAAGATAGCAAAGGCTAAACCCCAAAGTCAACTAGGGAACCATACCTCACCATATATAGTAAGTCGTGGGTCACCAGTACTTTCCCAGACCCGATGGACTCCGGCTCTGGTACTTGTGGGGACCCATCAGGAAGAGAAAACACAGTTCAGGTCAAAGCTTGCTAATATAAACCTCTTGATATGGTTTAAACTATGTGTACCTCTCAGAAGCCCGAAGAGATAACCCGTGAGATTTTTCTTCTAAAAAGCCCATTCCTTTTCATACTGAATCCAGCAGCAAATAAAAAGGTTTTGGGTGTATATTTGTGGGGACCATGGATGGGGAGACAGAATGAAAAGGGAAAACAAGATGTTAATTTCAAAAAAAAAAAAGTGAGTTAACGAATGATTACAATGAATACTTTATAAAGATATTTCTGACCTTCGAAGAAAACAGAAGGTGAAATATTCCTGTTTCCAGGCTAAGAAAACTAAGGCAGAAGATATGTATAAAATGAAAGTCCATATGAGTAAAAAGTTTTTAAATTAACCCAACAAGTAAGCCAGTAATCCATACTTCTCCATCACACACAATTTTAAACTCAATTTGTTAAAGAAAATGTGAGGGGACTTGCTCAGGGGAGAAAGTGGTGGTGCAGGAACAAATCCCTAATTTGGAATAAGGTAGAGATCCTTCTTTTTTTACTTGGGCCTTCACATAAGTCACTGGTTTTGAACAGTATGATGAGGAATACTTCTGGGCCTCCAGAATATCCATGAAAATTACTGGCCTCCAGCAGCTGCAGCTGTTCAAAATAAATAAATAAATAAATAAATAAATAAATAAATAAATAAATAAATAAATAAAGAGAGAAAGAAAATAAAGAAGAGGTAAATAAAAATTTCAGTGTGCTCAATGGTTCTGAATGAGGTGGCCTGAAATCTATACCTTCAAATGTGTTCCAGGTTGCTATAATATTTGTTGCCAAATATTTCTATATTTTACAAAATCCTCACAAATTCTAAAGACAGGAGAATAAAAGTTCTGCTCTTTTTGAAATGTTTATTCATTCATTACTGCTCATGTAATTAGTATAGAAATCTGTTCATTTCAAATTTTTCCAGTAAAAGAATTCCTAATTGTCCAGTAGATAATTAGTAGGTATTTATTGAGTGACTGATATATAAAGTCCTATATTAAGTCCTGAGGAAACAACGATAAATAAGATATAGTCTTTGCCTTCACAAAGGTTATACATATTTTTAACAAATTATGGGAAAATATCAGGTAAACTAGCATGCAATAATACTATATTATTTAAAACAAAGGTAATAATATGCCTTAACTAGAATTCAGATCTTAGAAGTCAGAACATTTCATTCACTGTTCTAAATACTAATTTGATAATATTAAGTTATAGTCCCAATCTAGAGCAAATACAAAAGCACTGCAGATATGTGCGACATAAATGCTTCCAACTATGTGATGTCCACAAGAGACTCACTTCAGCTTTAAGGACATACATAGACTGAAAGTGAAGGGATGGATAAAGATATTTTATGCAGATGGAAACCAAAAACCTGCATAGCTCTACTTATATCACACAAAACAGATTTTAAACCAAAAACTGTAACAAGAAACAAAGAAGGTCATTATATAATGATTGAAGAAGACACAAATAAATTTCTTTAATAAATGATTGAAGAAGACACAAATGAATAGAAAGATACTCTGTGTTAATGATTGGAAGAATTAATATTGTGAAAATGCCCATAGTGCCCAAAGCAATCTACAAACTCAATGCAATCCCTATCAAAATTCCAATGGCATTTTTCTCAGTAATAGGAAAAAAATCCTAAAATTTATACAGAACCACAAAAGTCCCCGAATAACCAAAGCAATTTTGAGAAAGAACAAAGCTAGAGGCATCACACTTCCTTATTTCAAATTATATTACAAAGCTGTAGTAATCCAAACTATATGGTATTTGCATAAAAACAGACACAAAGATCAATGGAACAGAATAGAGAGCCCCAAATAAACACATGCATATAAGGTCAATTAATTTTTGACAAAACACCAAGAATATTCAATGGAAAATGGATAATCTCCTCAATAAATGATGGTGGAAAAACTAGACGTCTACATGGAAAAGAATTAAACTTACACCATACACAAAAATCAAGTCGAAATGATTCAAGACTTGAATATAAGACCTTAAAGCATAAAACGCCTAGAAGAAAACTTAGAGGAAAAGCTCTTGCAATTTTTCCTGGCAATGATTTTTTGGATTTGACACCAATAGCAAAGGCAGCAAAAGCAAAAAGAAACAAATGGGACTACATTAAACAAAAAAACTTCTGTACAGCAAAGGAAACCATAAATGAAATGAACAGGCAACCTAGAGAATTGAAGAAAGTATTTTTAAACCACATATCCGATAAGGCGTTAATATCCAAAATATATTAGGAACTTATATAACTCAATAGAAAAATAATAATAATAATAACCTAATTTAAAAATGGTCAAAGGATCTGAATAGACATTTTTCCAAAGAAGACATACAGATGGCCAATAGGTACATGAAAAGTTGCTTAACATCACTAGTCATCAAGAAAACACAAATCAAAACCACAATGAGGTATTACCTTACACATGTTAAAATGTCTATTACCAAAAAGGCAAGAGATGGCAAATGCTGATGAGGATGGGAAGAAAGGGGACGCTGTGCACTGTTGGTGGGAATGTAAATTGGTGCAGTCACAATGGAAAACAGTATGGAGGTTCTGCAAGAAACTGAAAACAGAACTATCATGTGATCCAGCAATCCAGCAAAGGAAATGAAATCATTCATTTGTATTCCTATGTTCATTGCAGCATTATTCACAACAGCCAAGGTATGAAAACAACCTAAGTGTCCATCTATGGACGAATGGATAAAGAAGATGTGGTGTGTGTGTACACACACACACACACACACACAGACACTATAGAATATTATTCAGCCTTATAAAAGAAAGAAGTACTACCATTTAATATGGACGAACCTGGAGGGCATTATGTTAAGTGAAGTAAGCCAGACAGAGAAAGACAAACATGTCATGGTATCATATGTGGAAGCTTTAACAAAAGAGTGGAACTCATAAACACAGAGTAAAATGATGGTTGCCAGAGATATGAGGTTGGGGAAATTGGGAGGGGTTAGTAAAAGGGTACAGAACTTTCAGCTATAAGATGAATATCATCTGAGGATCTAATGTACAACATAGTGACTATAGTTGGTAACACTGTATTGTATAATTGAAATGTGCTAAAAGAGTAGAACTTATGCGTTCTCACCAAAAAAAAAAAAAAAAAAAAGTAAATATGTGAGGTGATGGATGTATTAATTAACTGGAGGTGGGAATCCTTTCATAATGTATGTGTGTATCACATTATACACTTCAAATGTGTTACAATTTTATTAGTCAATTATACCCCAATAGAGCTGAAAAAAAATTAATGCAGTTAAGAAACAAGTAGCTTAATAATAAAAAAAAAAAAAAAAAAAAAAAAAAAACTAAGACAAATATAATCTAAGGACACGACATTAGAAGTTGCTGCATCCACTTTTGCTGCTGTAAAGGCTGGCCAACATAAAAGAAGTGTAGTGTTGAAAGAACCACAGAGAAATGGGGTTCAATCCTGATTGCTTCTAAACTTGGGGTAAAATGTGACCAGAAGATTTACATACCACTCTTCTGTTCATTTGTGTGAACCAATACATTTTTCTACTTAAACTAATTGGGGTTGAGTTTTTAAAATTATTATTATTACTTACAGGGGGAAAAAAGGCCATACTAATATAAAGAGTTGTAGAGTTGGGAATGAGGGAAGAGTTGGAAAAGATTTTTATTGAATTTCTTAGGCATCACTTTTCCATGTGGAAGGCAAAACATGTCAGTAATTTTGGCAAATAAGAGTATGCCTTATTCTAATAGTTTAAAAATTAAAGAGGTTAAAAAGTAAGAGAGGTTAACGAATTAGAGAAGGCTCTGGGAAAGCAACAGTGATGAGCCTAGAGGATACTATTAGCATCTTCCCAGTGTATCCATCTATGTATAAAAATGGTCAAAATGGGCAGGAGAGATTAGGCATCTGTATCTGCCCTTTGTATGACTATGTATATGGATGTTTTCTTCATCTTCCGTCAATTTGCAAGATCCCTTTTCTATCACTACTGCTACTTTTATATTCCTGAAGTTTTCTTTCTCTTTTCTTTCTCCCACTGGAAAACAACCAAACCCCCTGGATATGATGCCTGAAAAGGGCTTAAAAAGGTGGACAGTAAAAAGTATGGGGTGACTTGCTGGGGCAGTAATGCTCCTCTGCATCAAATGCCCCATTTTGAGAGGAAAAAAAGGAAGAGCATACTGTTTGTAGGGGAGAAAGAATGCAAACATAACATAGCTCAAACCTGCTCGTGCAGCTGCCATTTTCTTGTTTCGCAGTTTGTTCTCCAAAGCTTGCTACATAATAAAAAATAGTAGAGAAGAACGTGAGATTTCCTGATGTTTTCTACTACTTGACATTAATAAAGACAAATATTTCTCTGAAATAAAGTGCATCCTACCTGTTTCATCTTCTTTTTTAGATCCAGATTTGCTGCCTTCTGGCCTTTTGAAGTAGCATTGAGATAATAGATAGTCAAACTAAATTAAAAAAAAATAAAATAAAATTTATGGTATTTTTCAGTTCCTCAAGATTCTTCTTAAATTTACTTTAACTAAATCCTATAATATTGGCACTGGAGTGACTTTAAGATATTTTCTACTCTGAACCTCTTTTGTAGATAAAAGCCTGAAGTACAGAGAGGTGAAGATGTACATTGAGAATTACACAGCAACTGGGGTGGACCTGGGAAGTTGGACCCCCAAGGCTCCTCCTCCACAGCCCAGGGCTCTGCCTGATGTTCCTCACTGCCTAATCTAGGTTCTTCTTGGAAATGTACTAACATCACTTGAAGTTATAATTGAAAACACCATTTCAAATCGATACCAATGGCATCCAAGAGAACAGAAAATCTCTTGAAGCTTAGGGAATGTGTAGAATAAAAAGGAAACTGACTTTCCACTTTAAATTCCTTCCTTTGGCTTTTATAACTAAGACTATAATCCTCATCGTCATAGTTAATTAACATGGCTCTTTTTCATCCATAGAATGTATTGTTTGCATTTCTCTCTCCTTCACAAGAAACTATTTCATAAAAGAATAGTCCTGGCATTTAAGTGACATTTCTAAAAAGAGCAAATTCCAGCCAAACATTTTTGCAAAAATAAACATGTTCATCTTCACAAAGCAAAACAAAGAAAGAATTCATTAAAAAAAAAAAAACACGGGGCTTCCCTGGTGGCATGGTGGTTGAGAGTCCGCCTGCCAATGCAGGGGATGCGGGTTCGTGCCCCGGTCCGGGAGGATCCCACATGCCGCGGAGCGGCTGGGCCCGTGAGCCATGGCCGCTGAGCCTAAGTGTCCGGAGCCCGTGCTCCGCAACGGGAGGGGTCACAACAGTGAGAGGCCCGCATACCCGCCCCGCAAAAAAAAAACGTAACTGGCATTGCCCTTTATTGCAAATAACTGGTTACTGAACACATTTCCCCTACTCACCAGCATGCCAGATCATAAGCTTTATGAGCCACCTGCTGCTAGCAACAGGATTATTGATATCGTTTCCGCTGGGTTTATTTCTTATACAAGTGATAGGATTTTGAATGAAATTACATACATGAAAGCATCTGGTGTAATATCTGGCATGAATTAGGTGTTCAATAAATATGGTGTGTCTGTGTATTGTAAGGGTTTTCTTAGAAAAGTGCCGGCATTTGGAGGAAGAACTCAAAGACCTCACAAGTCATTTGCAATTCTGTAATTCTCTATTTATCTATCATTTTTTTTCTACCTTGAGATGCACCTTCAATGAGTATTCTTCGTAGATCAATTTTTAGTCTCCAAAGGAATGAAACCACCTGCAGGGAACTAGCTCAAACTCTACTCAGTTACCCAAAAACCAACCAAGCTGATTTAATATGATTCATTGGGGAAATTCAAAATGCTTGTAAACATTCTCTAATTAAAGGTATTAAAAAGCCAAGCAAGGACTGCCTGGTGGCACAGTGGTTAAGAATCCGCCTGCCAATGCAGGGGACACGGGTTTGTGCCCTGGTCCAGGAAGATCCCACATGCCATGGAGTGACTGAGCCTGTGTGCCACAACTGCTGATCCTGTGCTCTGGAGCCTGTGAGCCACAACCAGTGAGCCTGCATGCCACAACTACTGTAGCCCACGTGCCTAGAGCCCATGCTCCGCCACAGGAGAAGCCACCGCAATGAGAAGCCAGCACACCGCAGCGAGGAGTGGCCCCCGCTAGCTGCAAGTAGACAAAGCCCATACAACAAAGACCCAACGCAGCCAAAAATAAATTAATTAATAAAAAAAAAAATCCAAGCCAACTGTATGGGTACCATAATGTGCTGAAGATGAGACCTCAGTATTTGAAAAATCAAATCAGTAATAAGCTGAATTTCGGGTTTTAAATCAGAACGTCAGAACTAAAATCATCCTTGTGGGACATTTATTTGACCTTATATCATGCCAGTTTCCCTCTAGACAGTCTATATCAGGGGTTGTCAAACTATGGTCTCTGGGGCAAACCTGACTCCCAGCCTGTTATGTATGGCCCATTAACTAAGATTGGTTTTTACATTTTAAAATAGTTACATAGGTACTTACATAATATCCTCAATTTTGCCTCTTGGACCACAAAGCCTGAAGTAACTACTATATGGTCCTTTAAGGAAAAGTGTGCCAAACCTGGGTGTGGACCATCTCTGACAAGAGGCTTCCAGTTCTGAGCATTTCCACTCAGCCTGAACTCAGTGTCTGGTGCTGTAAATGAGTAGGTGGGAAATAAGTGGTGGGGAATAAAAAGATATGGGTTTGAATTTACCTATTAGCCATTTGATTTGGGGCAGATCTTCCATGTGCTTTCAATAATATGATTAATGAGGCCAACTTCTTAAGGTTATTGTGGAAATTAAATGAGTTAATATATGGATCGTGCCTGGAACAAAGGCAGTGTTCATTCCTCTTCCATACCCCTGGGGCAGCTTATTAAATCTTTAATTAGTGGCATTAGAACAATGTTGCTCCTTTGCTTAAAAATAAATCTCTCTCAATAAATCAAGAATATAGTCATAAAATCTGACATTGTTTTGAGTGTGTGTGTTTTAAAACAAGACTTCCTTTTTACCACGAAAAGGCCTTGACTCCTAAAAGCCATGCTCTCAAAAGCCACTATATCGTAAAAACATTAAGAAGGAAAATCACTTCCAGGACCATCTGGTGAAACATGCTGCATCCAGCAAGTCATTTTCTAACACATCTGCACCAGAGATTTACTATCAGATTCTTAACGGCACCCCATGATCAAGGTTCTGTACTACATAAAATAATCTGTTTTACTATTTAATTAACCCTACAGGCTATTAGCTCTCCCTCAAAGAAGGCATCATGGTGTAAAGGGGTGAGTGCTGGATTTACTGTCAAAGCCCTACTATTGTCATTTTTGATGTATTCTCACTGAGGGAAAAATCCCTTCCCTCCTCCAAGTCAGTTTCTTAATTTATAAACTTGAAGATGACACCTGCCCTCACTGATGTGGCTTGTGACCACGACCATCACAGAGACGATCCTAACAACTTGGCCCAGAACCCAGTTCATTTACTTAAACCACTGGGATTTCTCTCCCAATCTCTCCCTGAGATTTCCTAGTTTTACCTTTATTTAAACAAATCCAACCCTTTGTGTCAGCTTTGTTCCACTAAAGTGCCCACGAGGGTGACTTCATACTTGCCCTCCTTGATCGAGATCAGTGGCAGCTCTAGACTTTTTATTTAGGAAGGCCTTGGGGTTTGAAAGGAAGGACTGGGGCACTTTTTGTAGCTCTTCCATAGGAAGCATATATATATATATATATATATATATATATATTTTGTTGTTGTTGTTGTTGTTTGTTTGTTTGTTTGTTTTTGTTTTTTTTTGCTTAGAATGTAAGTTTACCTGTGGTGGCCAAGACTCAGAAACCAATGAAAGTAATACGGGAACAAAAGACCCCTCTCAAGTTCCCCTTTGGATATCATCTCTGACTTCGAAAGGATAGACTAAGTGACCTTTCCAAGACCCTTCTGGTCCTCTGATTCTATCATCATGGGCAGACATAGTTATTAATGGCCTTCTAGGAAGAAGGACAGGGTAATTTTTAAGACCCCTTAAGCCTTTAGCCCTGAAATATAGCCTATAGGGCCCTCAAGGGGAATATTAACTTAGAGGCTCATCACTTCTGTGTATTCACAGCCATATGCTGTATGGAAAAAAGGTGGAGGTCAGGGGGGGTGGGGAGGAAGCTTGATGTGCTGATTAGATTTAGTGTTTATGTTTCCCTTGCTGTAGCTGTTTACTGATAATTATTTTGGTTACTTGGGAACAAATCTTATAATCCTAGGCAGGCAAAGACAGATGCAGATGGCTGTAAATTACATGCAACAGGATCAGAATATGGCTCATGAATTTTAGCCTCTCACCACCACGTAATCAGTGCTGAATTGGTTAGGTTACAGCACAACCCCTGGGGAGAAAGAGAGTTGAAAACGCTGAAACTTAAAAGGCGCAGGAAGAACATTACAAAGGCTCTTTCTATGAGGAGGGAAAGCACATACACCATAACCAAAATAACAGCAATAACTAATCCGGGATTAGAAAGCTGTCTCAAGATCTTTGCCAGCCAGCTTGGAAAATCATGTTCCAGTGTCTCTCCAATGACTTCAAACATCCTATTTTTGCCACTGAAAAAAAAAGGAGAGAAGTTCATTTAAAACAGATGTAAAAACGATGTTTATAGCAAGATGTAAAAACTATGTTTATAGCAAGAAAACTAGAAAATTTTCTCAGACACTGCCTAAGTACTCATTCAGGTTAGAAATCTGATGTTTAGCTACAACTCCTGACACTTCGGCCTCATACTGTCAACATATGGATAAGATATGAGAAATGTTATGCCAACACAAACACATAGTCAAAGCAGTTAGGAAATTAACCACAGCATTAGGAGAAGATTAAAAAAAAATTTGTTTTTGGCAGTATAGTTGATTTACAGTGTTGTGTTCGCTTCAGGTGTACTGCAAAGTGAATCGGTTATACATATACATATATCCACTCTTCTTAAGAATCCTTTCCCATAGAGGTCATTATGGAATATTGAGTAGAATTCCCTGTGCTATACAGTAAGTCCTTATTAGTTATCTATTTTATATATAGCAGTGTATATGTCAATCCCAATCTCCCAATTTATCTCTTCCCTCCAGGAGAAGATTTTTTAAAGCTATATTTCTAAGATTTGGGTTACTTGGGAACAAATATACTATATAAAATATAAATATACCTTATATATGTATGAAAATATATTTTATAAATAGCTTGTAAGTCTACTCCTCAGCAGCTGGTTCTTATATGAGAATACTTTCTTTGGGCTGAACAAACAGTGTGCTCAGTTTTTTTAATTAGCCTTGGAAATGAGCATAAGGAATAGCTTAATGGAATAAAATCCACAAATAATCTAATATCTCTTTCCATGTTATAGCTTCTATCTCATTTTCCACCAGACCTCTTTCATCTGAGCTATTAATAGGTAACTGCACTGAATGCTGAATCCTTTCTCTCTCAGTATTTCTTCTGGACGGGCCCTAATGAGTACCAGCTAAGAACAGAAAATGGGAAGAGAAAGAAAACAAGCCTAAAAAGCAAAGGTCCTTAGTGAGTTTGTTCTCAGCCCCTATAAACTAGAGAAATGAGAGCAGGATGTCTGTCTTAACTTAGTATATAATATTCGGCATTATCAGGTAACACCCATCATGCCAAATTATTTTTTTCTGTATATACATATTGATTCTACTATACAATGATGTACTTTTCAGAAAAGATATTGCATTATTTATCAGCAATTTGTATGTATCATGAGAATAAAGGTTGGCATAGCACTGAGTAAAATATTTTGGCTTCACTTTTGTTTTTTGACCTTTGTACATAATGACAACTACTAATTGAACATGACCCACAAGTTCCAGATCAGATTTTTTTTTCTCTCCAGTATCTTTTAATAGACTGAGAGTGACTTCAAGTATCTTGTCAGGAGTCACTGGACTACAGAGGTATAAGTTTTGCTTCACAAATTATAGATCTACACACTAATTAGCAAGACCTATGATACATAAGGGGGGATGAAGCTTACTGACAATTTAAGATTATATCAACCTATTACACTAAGGTTTCTCATTCCTCATCCATTCTAGCTGACCATGCTTCACCTTGACAATATGGAATACAGCCAGAATGAGGAGACAGGCAAGGAGGATGAGAAAAAATGAGACAATCCACCCCACTTCTCCAGCCTCTAGGGCTGAGTTTGATGAATGTCAGAATGAGGGAACCGGAATTTTACAAAATCATCCCTACCCACAAAGGTCTTCTTTGCATCCAGTGTATGAGAAATGTGAAGTTATTAGTATCTCTGAGGATTCTTGGGTGCCTTTTCCAGGACAGGTCTCTTACCAGGAGTCCAGATCTTTTATTATACGCAAACTATAGAAGCATCTACAAATCCTGGCACTCCCTTTTTCTGACGGGTGAACTAAAATATGCATAGTCCCAGAAGTCCTTTCCAGCCTGTTGCAAGTATACAGCCAAGTGAAATGTTACTGAACTTAATCTATAGCTCTCTTGGGCATAGCTCCATCCACCCTAATTAGAATAGTCTCTGTCTGTCTTTTCAGCCAGACTGAAAGGTCCACCTGGCCAGAATCAATGCCCAATGTACACCTACATCTCCTCTAGTGCTTAGTGTACAACAAACAGTCATTGTTCATTCATTAACTCAAATTACTGGCCAACACTCTACTGTGTTTTGACTCACAGAGATGAAAATATTCTGTCCCTAACCTCTAAAAGTCAGCTACACTATTAAGAAAAATCAACACATCAAGTGAGTAATGTAATAGCAGTGTCACGATATAATATAAACCTATACATATTATATGATCTCAGTTATTTTAAAAATCTGCATAAGAAGAAAACCAGAATACAAAATGCCAAAAAAATGTTGAGAGTTGTTATTTCAGGTCTTTGGTTAGTGTTTATTTTCATGCGAAAATGTCTATAATTTCTGGTTTTTCTAGGATCAACACATATTACCTTTGCAGTTAGATGAAAATACATGAAGTTATAATTACCATAATGTTAGCAGGGAGGTGTGTGAGAACCTAGAGAACTACAAATTGTTCAGAATTATTAGTGAGGGAGCTGGGGGAGAAACACCAAGTGTCAGGAGATGTGGTAGAGCAATTAGAAGAATTTTCTTCATCTGGACACCAAAGAAATAGTTTTTTAATTGTCAAACTGTTAAGGTAAATCCACTTAATAGCCTACTGGAATAATTTTCTGGAAAATTCACCCTCCCTAGCCAGTTCTTATGAAACCAGAACAAGCTAGACTATCTCATCAAAGTGCTTTGCAGAATGGGTCTTCTAAGGTATTGTAGCCACCGCACCTGAAAACATACATGCACCTGGGAGAGCCTGGCCATTACTGTGCTGTCCCTATTAACCTACCTCAAACGCTAGTTTACCAATTTGCTGCCCACCCAGGTGCCAAGTAGGGTCAGATACACTTCACTAGGCAGGCTGGTCAAACCACCTCAAACTCAGGGTCCAAAAGGATGGCAAGTCATGAGTCTCCTACTAATATATCCTTTCTCACCTCACTACCAAGGCAGAACAATGCTTAAAGCTTTAAAATCTAGAGAATAAACCAAGTATACACTCTTTTGCTCCAGGAACAACAGACTATCTAAATAGGACAGAGATACCCCTTTCCCAACACTCTACTGAAAATATTTAAATTTCCTTGATCTCAAAATAGTGATATACATGCTGCTCATCTGCCAAAGTTTGCCAATTAGGAAACAGTTGGTCAAAGTCAGATACTATGTGTTAGACACAGACTAAGTTTTATTCATTAAAATCATAGTAACTCAGTGTGATTTAAAGAGAGGCAAAGGAGTTAGGATGCAAAAAGCTAAAATTGTGCAGTCATTGTACATGACTAGCGCAATGATATTTTTAGTATCAATGGACCTTTGTTACCACCACCCAGCTCCGTGTTGACCTTGTGGGGTTTCCCTGGCAGACAACTAAGTTCCTTTGATATGTTTTTCTGAGAAGGACCCACTTCCAATTAAAAAGTTAAAAGCACATCTAAAACTTATCCTGGATATTTAGTTGTGTGGGTAATTTGCAATTAACTAAAGTCTTTAGATGACTTGTCTCTTGAACTTTGTACCCTGAGCTTTATTAAGACCAATTGCTCTTTCAAAACTGTAGTTTCATATTTAGCCTCCAGATGTCACTGTCTGCATTATTTACTTCCCCCGACCTGGGTAGGGCGGGGGAACAGGACTTGTCAACTTCAGCTTCCTGAATATGTATGACAGAACTCCAGCTGCTTTTGCACAATCAGTAGGCTTAACATTTTCTTTCTTTGTGTCCAGGAAAGCAGTAATAACAGACTATTATTGGAATGAAAATGCTTCTCTTATACTTAAGTCTGTGAGCAAAGAATATTTTGACTTTAATTTAAACTTGGGTCTGACAGCATGAAGGAGAAATTATACATGTCCACTATTGCATCATGCTTGTCATTCACATGGCTTTTTGTATTCACATTTTCCCACTGAAAAGTAGAAATGCACGCTGATCAGTGACTCAATATGTAGAGATTCTTGGGCGGACTTGTGGTAGAATGAAATCTCAATCCTCCAGATCTGGAAATTTTGCTTTCTTGGTAAGTGTCACAGGGAACGCTGTCATAGAGAACTGTAGAAAAGTATATTTCTAAGTTGGATCAAAGAGCCTTCTTGACTCTTTATTACTGACTTGTGTGATTTATTCTTGTTATTTGAGGAGAATATACATGAGGAACATCCTTAATTTTTTTCCTAGCATGTAGATTTGGATTATAAATTATGTGACCCTCTTTATATTCATTATTATCTAATAATGATCCCATTTCCTAGGTAGCTTGTGGAGTCATCTTTCTTTTTTCCTTCCTCCCTCCTTCCCTTCCTTCCTCTTTCATTTTTTCAATTAGGTGGTTCATGTGAAAAATAACAATAGCTTCCAATGTCTGAATGAGATGACCTAGCATCAGGAAAATGTTCATATCCAGACTAGTGTAATCAAACCTTGCTCTTCGCTATCTCCTTATACAGAAATAGCTCAGATTCAGTGTACATATTTTACACGGACAGAGCCTGGAGCAGTTATTTTCCCTTTTATGATTGCCAAGTGAAAAAATATCAATCGATGGATCTTGCTTAAGAATTTCCATGTCACATAATGAGCCTGAATATCTAAAAGAGCTCAATTCCTACAGACCAAAATGTCACTGTTTGGGGGAAAAAAAAAAATAGCTTATACAACGAGTGACCATTCCCATCTCCACCCCTGAAAGAAAACTTTGCCCAAAAGAAATTGCAAAGGCAAGAACCTGAAGGGGCCACAGTCGAAAGATGGTGGGAGGGACACGATCATGTACAGGACGGGCATGGTGGACAGGAAGAGGATGAGCAACAGCATTCCCAGATAGAAGTTATTCGATCTGGAAGCTTTGAAGACCCTGGCCTCAGGAACGTTGCAACACATCACAGCCCAGCCCTGGAAGTACATGGATGTGTGGAGCCGAAGGATATTGATGCCTGGGAGGCTGGGAGCGAAGAAGGAGCCCATCCTGGAAAGAAAAACAGAGCTCTGCTCACCACGGAGCTTCACTCCCCAACAACGTCACACGGTCCGTATTTATTTTACATCATGCTTATTTGCCAAAGGCAGAAAATGTGTTTGCCACTTTCAATCACATAAACCCTTCATGTTAATACACTTAATTAATTCTATTTCCATCTCCTGTACACATTTTACCATCTTCCCCATTATTGCAGATATTGTGTACTTAAGTCTTTCACAGAAACTCTGCTGGTCGCTAATTATATCCACTTATCATTAGTAAATTTAAACTACAACAGACCAAACAGTGTATTACATTTGTTCTACTTCTCTCTTCTACTTGTAAAAAAAATTTACTTTCCCCTAATATTCATATCATTAATATATCTAAAAATTTAGCTTTAAAAAAAACTTCCCCCCAAAATTTTAAAAATTAAAAAATAAAAATTTATCTCCTTTTATAATTAACCCTTAAAATCACCCATTATATTCAAATAAACTGCACATGTGCATTAATTATTTTGTCATAGCTAATTAATTTTTACTTAATGAAAGAGAAAATGTTAAAGTAAGTTTTTCTGATGTTATTTTCTATTTGTGGCTGTTATGGTATTTTAGAGCCAATGGGAATTATGTATTTGTGCCTCATAAGATACTATGTTTTGTTGATATTCAATTGCAAGCTTTATGTGTCTATGAAATGAAAATTTGACACATCCATTTAATTTAGTTTATCTGTTTACTTTCTTATTTTAGCTTGTCCAGGAAATCCACTGATCTGTACATGAGATTTTTAAAAAGTATTTTAAAATGCCGCTTTTAAACAGGAACCATTGGGTGAGGTCACTCTTACTTGATGGCTTCAGTGCTTATTATTTCAACAAAATAAATTTGAATTTTCTTTGATGAGAAAATCCATCAGCACCATAAAGCACCATAATGGCAATTTATTAATCCGAAACTCAAAAGAGGATACATGTACACTTATTTCAGAAGTATAAGCAGAATCCTATCTTTTAAACTGTCCCAAATAAAATAAAACCTTCAGCAATTCTAGTTAGGGTTTGCATGTTATATTTCCCGGTTATGAAGAATAATTTTTTAAATCAATCCAATGTAAATTTGGTATATTACGGAGGGCGGGGGGTTGAGTTAGATGAAAGTTAGTTTCGGCTATAATTGCACTTGTGCAAAATCCAACATTAAACCATTTCATTGAAAAGTGCTAACCTGCTACAGTTTGTGCTGTGCTGTTGATAGGTTTCCATACAACAGATCTGAAAACCATTTAACATACTGAATTGACCATAGATTTTGTAGAAAGTTAAACTATTAAAAAAATGGTATGTACTTTGGGTGATGATGATTTGTCCATGTAGGTTCATCAGTGACAACAAATGTACAGCGTGGTGGAAGATGTCAACAGTGGGAAAGGCTGTGCGTGGGTGGGGACAGGGGGTATATGGGAACTCTGTACTTTCCACTCCATTTTGCTGTGAACCTATAACTTCTCTAAGATATAAAGTTCATTAGTTTTTTTTTTAATGAGGGTAAACTTTGGAACAATACTGTGTATCTTGGTTACAGGATAGCAAGAGAGAATCTGGAACCCCAGAAACATGAGAAGGTAAGTGAGTGACAGTCCCAGCTGAGGGGCCAGAATTACAAAGCTCTAGATTATATTCCCAAATGCCAATGTCTGTAATGTAAAATGCTTGCAGATGACTGTGCTTGCCCCCTTCTAAAAGTCAGGCTTGGCCATGTGATTTGTTTTGGCCAGTAAAATAGAGATAAAAATGAAGTGTCTCACTATGGGATGGAAACTTTAATAGTGCTGTAGGGTTTTTTGTTCTCTTCTCTCTCTGCTCTGACCAGTGTTGTTCCAGATGGATCCTATTCTATCACACAGTCTATGACTCCACAGTGAGAGTAATTAACATGAGCACAGTCCTTTACCAACTCACATTGGACACATGGAGTAAATAAGAAATAAACTTTTCCTTTTCTAAGCCACTGAGATTTGGGGGTTTGTATTTAATTGCTACACAACCTAGTCTATCCTAAGATACAGTTTTGCCTAAAGCCACATATATGTGTACCTATACATAGGCATGCGTTGTTTATCTGTATGCACACATATGTACACTCATATATATAAGTGCATCTATAGATAAATTTCAGAATTTCAAAATAAATATCACATAGGCATTTTGAACAAATGACTCAAGAACATTATCCTAGAAAAAGAGATCCAGACACAGTGATATCTGAATCTTAAAGCTCATTCTGTCTTTGCCCCATGACTCACTAATCAGCTCAGCTCACTAAGTCCCTTAGCCAGACTTGATCCCGTCATCTGCCAGTTGAAGATCATTGTAATACCTTAGGCTTATAAAATGCTTTTCTTCCAAGAAGATCAAAGCAAATCAAAGCTTCTTTTATTTAGCTCTTCTTATTGTTCCAGTGACACGGTACGTGTCAGGTAAATTATTCACATTTGATCAAGTGAGAGAATGAGGTAGCAGAAAGTGACAAGACTGGCAGGGAGATACAGGAGACAGCATTGGAACAACGTCTAAACCTATATTATTTCTCACTGTGTGTGCTCTGCCTCAGCTACATCCTGCTCTGATAGAGTAGAGATATGATATGCTCTCATCATTTAAAAATATGATTACAAAACCTAGGCTATTTTAAAAAGACGTGTATAATATAGTTTTACTGATCATATCAGCCAATTCATTAAAAAAATGGATGTTACCTATAATTGTTTGACTTTAATAACATCGGTGTAAATAACCTTCATTACTCAGAAACTCCTAAAGCAGTTATTGAATGTCTCCAGTCACAAACCAATAAAATTGAACACAAAATCTCCATCCTCTTTTGATCATTTCTGTAGCAAATGGCCATACTTAGGCATCAGATCCTTATGCCTCATAAAATAGTGGATTACATGTGTGAGTACAAGGGAGCCTTCTAAACCTAGACTACACACTCCCCACACCGCATCCCTACCCTGTCACCAACTTCCTGGCAGTTAGGAAAAGACCATTTGTACAAAGGGTTGACCTGAAGGGGAATAACAGTTATTCAATATTTTGCTTCTAGAACTCTGGGAAGTGTGTGAATATCTTAGTACACTCAAAAAACACAATCCCTTTCTAAAGTCCTCTTTAAACTAACCGGAAGCAATATTTGACCAATATCTGAAGGTTGAATACATAGAAAGTGATAGTGTAATGATACTGCAAAGATTTTGATGATGGGCCTGCCCATGAGAAAGCTGGAGAAGATTGTTTAGATATTTAAGAATTTCAATATGAACAACAGTGGACTAAATAGGTGCAAAATTACAAAGTGAAACAAATCAAGACACAATTATAAGAGTTTTGCTGACAATGAAAACAAATTTCTAGGCCAATCTGTTGTCTTCACTATGAAAGAACAAGAAATAGACATGCAGCATATGTCTGCACAAATGGCGCCACGCCAGGCCTGAGGGATTTATGACACTCTGCATAAGAGCCAGGGAGTTTTAAAACTGATATAAGGCAGTGGTTTCTCATTACTCCAGTAGCACTGTTAGCCATTTTCTGCCATGACAGCAGAATCCCCTACAGGAAATGAAAGATCTGGAAGCTGAGCCCTTTGCTATCTCTGGTGATAGTCACATGTTGAGCCACCTTGACTTTCCTCCCTGCTTGGAGAAGAAAGGATGCATTTCACTCCTTAATGACTCTCTGGACATATAAGCCATAACCTGTAAAATTTAGAAAGCAAGGGAACAGGAATCACGTTTTTAAACATACCTGACAATGGAGAGGAAGATCTTTTTATAGTCTTCTCTTCGTATTGATTGACCTAGTGAGGCACAGAAATCTGACAGGCCCCAAGGCAGGATGATGAGGCCCTTGACTGTGGTCTTTATATTACTGAAGCAAGATCATTTTAACCTTTGCAGAGAGGTTTGCTCTCACAAAGGTTTAACAATTCAGACTAGCTATGGTTAAAGGAGTTGAGTAATATATGAAGCTTGCACAAAAAGTGACCCCAGTAACTAGTACTTGTACCTAGGACAATGGTGTGATTGGCACAATATTAGATCTGTGTCAATGGGATAAAGAAGCTCAGTTGTAACTGCTTGTGGGTTGGGGTGTTCTTAGTTAAGACTGACAGATTTTCAAGACACACGGTCCACAGATGAATCTCCTGCTATGATTCAAGTTTTAAAGTCAAAAATCGTTTCTACTGTATCAACTCATCTTAACCTGTCAAAGTTTACAGTGAAAATGCTTTCATTTAATAAAAGATATAACAATCCTTTGTATGTTAAAAGAAATAATTCCGATGTGCAAATGGCCCCATGAAACAAATTACTAAATAAAGATCATATTTCTAACTAAACCTTCCTAAAACATGTATTTCATCTCTATAAACTACTGGATTTGGTAAGCTAATAGTTTTTAAAGTAGCTATAAATTCCATTTAAAACATATTCAATAGTGACTGCAAATAAAATAAGTTTCTTGGAAAGACCTTACACTAATTTCTTTCATTCTTAACATGGGGTAATGGGATCACTAATGTTTCACTGTCAGATCCTAGTATCACAGGATATGAAACTATAAAAAGCCTACAAATAATCTAGAAGCCAGAACCTAAACTCCCAGTATTTGATGAAGGAGTGCTCTGCAAAACAGGCAGATGTCTTTTAGAATTAAGATTTAAAATATGGGGAAAAAAAGTAAACTCTTCATAGCCATTCACTTTGCAAAAAGACAAATGTTGAGTTAGATACAGACTGTGGACTTCTCTAACACCAGGCTACAGTGCTTCATGCAAAAATGATCTTGGAGGCTTTCTTCAGGTGATAAACTGTCCACAGCTGGCTTACCAGATCATTCCTTGATTGAAGATCAGAGCGAGGACATTGCCACTGATGTCAAATTCGGTGTATGAAGGCTAGAGGAGACATTCACTGTATTAGCATCTCAAATGGCAAAAACTGAAAGGCAAGTGTTTCATATTTCTATACAGGTATGGCTAGACTTGCAACTACTTTCTTGCAGCAAAAATAGCAGAATAATCAATACAATAAATAATTAGCGATAAAATAATAAGGCATCCTTTTTAACACAATAAGACATTTTTAAATTCTGTCATTCGATGCTGTGGAAGTGTGGTGAGACATATGCCCTCATACACTGCTGGTGAAAGTAAAACTTGGAATAAACTTTTAGAAAACAATTTGACAATACGTATGAAAAGTTTTAAAAACTTCATCCTCTTTGACCCTGTAAATTTACTTCTAGAAATTTGTTTTAACAAAATAATCCTAAATGCTAACAAATTTTAAGAAGCAGAGATGAAACCATCTAAATGTCCAACACTGGTTAAGTAAATACAGTTTAACTATGCTATGATATATATTGCAGCTAATTACAATCACCGTTGGAAGAATATTTATATAACCAAGAGAAAACTATGCTCTAATGTTAAACAAAAAATATGTAAACTTATACATTATTTTTTCTACTCAGTATGAAACTATGCATAAAGAAGAAACTTAAAAGTGATCGGCAAAATTAATAGTTGTTATATGTGGGTGATGGATTATCCTTTTATTTTCTTCTTTAAGTTTTGCGTATTTAAAATACTTTTTTGAAAAAATGGGAATTTCTTTTACAATAAAAAATATAGGGCTTCCCTGGTGGCGCAGTGGTTGAGAGTCCGCCTGCCGATGCAGGGGACA